TCTTTGATGACATTTAGTGTGTTGGCAATAATTACAGCCCCGGGGACGAAAGTCGAAATCTATAAAGTATGGTGTGATGTAGTGGCGAGAGATAAGAGAAAATTGCAATCACGACGGGAAATCCTGAAAAGGAATTCCTAATAAAGGAGCATGCGCAGTAATCAGCAAGGAAGGGTCGCTGCGAGATGCTGTTTTGATTAGATTTTGAATTTAACCTTTGTGTCAACTCCTCCATGGAGGTTTTCCTGGCCCCGGGCCATCTGCATTTGTTGGGAGACTGTGGGAGATACGCCCGTCTCGCTGCATAATACAGGTTTCAAAAGAATTAAAAAAAATAATAATAATGTGGTTACTTGTGAGTCGATCAACAGCGAACACTAGATTAAAACTAGAACGATGTCTGTCCATTTTGTTTGCTTGTTACAAGATTATTTAGGATTTAGGGAGATGAAGACAACAAGTTTCAGCATCAATACCTTTTTTTTTCTTTTTTTTTTTTTGTATTTTCCATCAAAATAAAATCTTTATTATTTTAGCTTTCATTTTTTTTCTTATCTTGGAGATATCGTATCAGATTTATATATTTTTTTGTTTATTCATTTTTTTTCTTTTTTTCTCATTTTTGTTTTTTTACACCATTTACGTTTCCATTTTCATTTAATTCCTTTCTTTCTCTTAATCGATATCAATTTTAATGAAAACAAGATTAAAAAAAAACAATTAAAAAAAAAGAAACAAGAAAAAAAAAAAACTGACATTTTTGAGGGTGTACTTCTTAGTCTCACATATTGTAGCCTGGAGCTAACATCATTTCAGCGCCTGACTCGAACCCGCGACAAGAAGTAAATTAAGAAAGCAACCAAAAAGAATTCCGTATTGAAAAAGACAAACTAACCTCATAAAATTGGAACTTTTTTGAAAGGCTTCTTTTTTTTTTCGTTATTGATTTTTGTCTCGCCCAGAAGGGAAGATAGATTTTTTTTCTTTCTACAACTGTAGGCATTAGTGGTTATTTGATTAAAAACAATAATCAAAATAACCTTTTTTTTTTTCATTTCGTGCAAATAAACTGCTTATTTACATAGTATTAAAGACAAAAGATACACTCAACAACAGCATCTTCCAAAATCAGTGACAAGAAAGAACCCTGTCAATCCAATTTTAATTAAATAAGAATCCTCTGTATCTGCCTATATTTCTGAGATGAGGTATCGTAACTTACACTATTTACATGGCCCAGTAGATAAAAGCGTTGGTTGAAGTAATCCAGTTATTATATCTTGATCCAAAGAGTTGTGATTTCAATACCTGGTCACAGCAGAGGTGAACAAAAACTTAGAGAGTTCAGTTACTAAAGGGAAATAACCGAAACTGAGACATACAGAACAATCTAACCCGGTGGACGAAATAAAGTGTTCGATTCGAAATTCCAATCACCAGAAGAAGGTCGGAGCGTACAACGGTCGTGAATATGACGGTAAAAACAACAGTCTGAACAATGTAAATAGTGTAAAGAATTCTACTGCTGTGGCGCGATGAGCAAGCCTATCTCTTAGCTCATTCCATTGTGCACTTAATTTGATCGTTAACGGATGTCTTCTAACAGATTATTCTTGCTAGGTCACAGGCACATTAAACCTGGGACATAGAAATCACAACTCTCTCTCTTTATTCGGTATAATCTTTTGAGAGAACAGACTATGTAGTCACTTCAGCTACAAGATGCTCTGTACAAATGCCACTCTCTTTGTGTGAAAAGCGTAAGCCTGGGATTCTCAGAAGACGCTGCGACAAATATGTCTTTGACGTAAAAGAGCTAAATTAATTCTTAACAACCCACCCACATAGCACAATCCTTCTAACTTTCACTTCATTTTTGTTTGCTTTTATTTTCATTTTCTCTTCTTATGTCACGGCTTCATTTGAAGAGTCACTGAGTAGTATCGACCGAGAGATCTTTTTAATGAAAGCCTGATTTTATAGGACACGACGTTGTAAGACGATCTAATCTATCACTATTTAAAAGGCAAATGTTCAGCTTAGGTCCATGCTCTAGTTTCACCAGTTCAGATATTTACATCTAGGAAACGCCATGCCACTTCCACGGAGTCGATTACCCTCATTTACCCCGTATTTCAAATGTAAGAAGAAAATTCAACTCAGACAGCTTTTTCCCCAAGAATTGCTACTTTGTGAAGCAAACGCCTATTTGAATCCCTCCCTGGAGCACTTTAGTTTTAACCTCTTCAAATCAAGGGTAAATCACTATCTATCCTCCTTATCCTCATAAGCGTCTCCTTAATCTCTTTTTTCATCTATATAACACACTTCATTCGTCATAAATACTTTAACAGTTACCCTCTACCTTAAATGACCATTGGGTGTACGGGCCCACGGCTATATCACATTGAAACACTGGTTCTCCGTACGATCACCAAAGTTAAGCAACGTCGAGACTGGTCAGTACCTAGATGAATGACTGCTTGGGAAGATCAGATGCTTAAGCTACGATGTGAGGGTGTAATGGATAATAGTTTGACATTGTTAATCGGAGAGCAGATTCCAGCTGGTCTCGTTATATTCACTTACGCGCAAAAGACCCTTGTGAAAAGTATAAATCCGCCTCTTTTAGTATGTGTTATCACTAAAACTATTATTACCCCTCCCACCAAAAAAATTCTTACAATCTAAAAATATTTTCTGGCTTTTATTAACCTGCAAAGATTTCTTAAGCTGCCGAAAACGAATGAATAAATCAATCAAACCATTTTCAACAGTTTTGAAAACATGTATTGAAAGAAGAAGGAATGCTGGGATTGCTTTCCAGGTAGGAAAAAACATTGAATTATTAATAAATTTATAGGGAATAAGGTAATAATTGATGAGCCTGGAAGAGTTTTAGATTTCCCACTTGTGCCAGGGATTGATATACAATTCTGACAAGATTTGTCTCCCTTGAATCTTACTTGATAAATTATTCAGTTCTATACAAACGAAGTTTGGCTTACATAATTTTATTTCTTAAAATAACCTGCAAACGGTTGATAAACCGTAAAAAAAGAATCAATCAGTCATATCATGGGGGGGTACAAAAAATATGAAATAGACCCATAACAATTTATCGTGCTAGTATATTCTTAGTAAACTATGAAGAACCAAAGAAGGGTCTACAATACAATCGATCCTACGTATCTGGACGTGACGTGGCTTCCCTCTGTCTTTTCGACAAAAGCAACTGCTCTGACGAGCTTCCCTCCCCCTGGTGCCCCGACAACATGAATTTAAGCGTGGAACTAGATTGATTTCTAGGTCTCACTCTTTTAAAGTTTGTTATGGTCCAGGTTAGGACCAAGGAAGAACAACACGAACACAAAAGTAGAAATAACGAAGGTATATTACACGAAATAATAATACAAGATGTGGAAGGTGTTAGTATGACTGTCAGTCTGGTTTGGACTGAACTACTATCGGCTCGATTCGTCCCTCTCTCTTGAGAGGCGTAGTATACATAGTATTAGGAAGAGTTCATTCTGTAGTTATAGGTAAGGACCCATGACAATGTTGAAATAGCAAAATGCAACTACCGCTTCTACACCAACAGTTTCTTTAATCTCGCACTTCCCACCTGTGGAACTCCCTTCTGTTTACTTGCTTCCTTGTTAACTACAATCTTCAAAAAAATTAAATGTCAATCACCATCTATCTTCTTGGATCCCGTATATATATATATATATATATATATATATATATATATATATGTGTGTGTGTGTGTGTGTGTGTGTGTGTGTGTGTGTGTGTGTGTGCAAATATAGAGAAAATAGGAAAGAACCGTCAGGTAAATAATCCAAAGTGCTTTATTATTTTTGTTATTATTTAAAAAAAAAAACAGTGCTCAATAAAAAAGTCGAGCCTAAATTATAATTATTTTTTAAAAAAAATATGATTCCTTCGCTACATAAGAGTTCTCATGTTTCAAAAACAGGAGCCAAAAACTTCAATATAATTATTAAAATTAAATTGAATTAAATTATCAAGCTCTGTTTCATCCTCAAGCGAAATTTTGGGAATAACTAATCTTGAAATTTACGAAGACTTAAAAGCATATTCATTCGTAAAATTAGTTACTATGGAAACGGATGACACAACTATTTCAATAAGGGGCAACTCTCTCTCTCTCTCTATATATATATATATATATATATATATATATATGTGTGTGTGTGTGTGTGTGTGTGTGTGTGTGTGTGTGTGTGTGTGTGCGTGTGTGTGTCGCATCGGTAGTATCAAGTCCTTCTTGATGCAGTCACACTTCAGATGGGCTGGTCATGTCATCAGAATGATTGGATGCCGAAAATCCTAATGTATAGCTAACTTTTTCATGGTAAGCGTAATGTAGGCCGTCCTTGGTCACGCTTCAAGGACAAACTTAAATACAATTTAAATGCTGCAAACATCCCTATGGAGGAGTTCGAGTTGGCTGTTGAAAACCAAGCAAATTGGAGAAACACCTGCTACCGAGGTATAAGTAAATTTGATAAGAATCGTCCCGACCATCTGAGAGAATTACGAATCAACACTAAATCTCTGGCGAATACCATAACCCATATGACGGTCAATCCTTCAGTATGACCCACGTGTGGATTTGTTTGTAAATACCGTGCAGGATTGTTGTCTCGTACGAAATATAAACTTAAAAACTGAACTGAAAGACACTCATACGTCGAAAACGACGGAGAGTCCATCATCATATCATGTATATATATATATATATATATATATATATATATATATATATATATATATATATATATCGATAGATAGATACATAGATAAAGAGAGAGAGAAAGAGAGAGAGAGAAAAAAAACTATACTACAATTTAGATTTCCAGTGTTTTAACATTTTCCAAAGCAAAATATATTAATTTTGAAAAAGGGTGTAATTTTGAATGTGTATTAAGCAGCTTAGTCAAGTTTGGTATAAGGCATTAACAATGGAGCCGTTAGCAATTGATTGGTAGATTCGTTTACTAACCTTCGCTCTAGACATGGCGCCCGCTTTGTACCGTCTGTGTATAACAGTTTTGGGATCTTGTCTTCTTTTTTACAGGATATAAAATTCAATGTAATCACACGAGGTAACTCAGTGTGTCTTAACGCCTGAGTGAACTAATGACAAAAGATATTATCAAAATGACGCACTGCGAATATAAGATTTAAAATCCGGCAACCATGACACTTTGGGCGTTGATTATCATAATTGGTAAAATAATGCCACCCATGGGAATAGTTTCAATTCTAAGAAAAATATCAGACGAGGAATTGTACAGCTGGACTATCTAAGAAACCAAGGGAAACAATTAAAAAGAATTCTATTGAATCCTGTAAGAAGGGTGATCTTATAAATACAGTCTCAGAACTTTGGTTTATTTCGAATGGTATGCAAGTTGGAACAAAAAGAAAACGGAAGAATCAATCATCATCATCATCATCATCATCATCATTTATTTGCAATTTCCCTTCAGGACGTGGGCAATGATAGCTCTAAGCAATGGTAGCAGAAGAATAGCAGTACAAAATACGAGCGTCGCTCCGAAAGTCATACCTCCTATATTAACTGCCCGTCAGAGTCGGGGATTGATGACATGACAGTAGAAGTTGAACCTTCGTACCGATAAACCATATATAGTTTTTCTTTGTTACAGATAACAGCTGAGCGGTAGTCTGGCAAGTTGACGTCTGACATAAAAGTGCGTACAGAAAACAGAAGTGCTTTCAATGAACTTTTCCATTGACAAAATATTGCGCCTAATGGTAATCATCGACTCTTGCTGAGACTTTATCGTGAATGTGAACAGGGTTAGACGGCGGGTAATGAGCTTCAACAATGGAGACAGCGATGTGTATGATAAACCCCATTTAAGAGCGTGGTATGCAGGATCTTGCTTATTGATAGTAGAAATGCATAGCCAATGGCTGGGACTATTTAGAAAAAGTAGTATTTTGTATCTGAGAATGTACTCCAAGGAACAGTGTTAGTGTAATATAGCTGTTAGTTATAGTTTCCATGAAAAGAAGTGAGAAGCATTACTTTCGGAGTACTCTATGTATAAAATAAATTTCGTCAAAAAAAAAAAAAAAGGGATAAATTTATGAGGAAGAGTGGAGTTGCGAAAAAATAAAAATAAAATATAGAGAGTGGGGAAGAGAAAAAGGAATTAGTGGAAAAACAGCGAAAATACAAGAGAAAGAAAAGGAACAAGGAACAGTTAAAGAGATATGAGAAGAGAGAATAAAAAGTCTGAAGAAGAAGAAAAAGTTGAAGAGATTTAAGAGAGAGTAAAAAGTCTGAAGAAGAGGAAGAAGAAGAAAAAGTTGAAGATATATGAGAAGAGAGAGTAAAAAGTCTGAAGAAGAAGAAGAAGCAGTTGAAAAGATATGAGAAAAGAAGGTAAAAAGTCAGAAGAAGAAGAAGAAGAAGAAGAAATTGAAAGGAGGAAAGACTGAAGACGAGAGATAAGAATTAAAAGAGAAGAAGGAAGAGTGAGAGGAGAGGAAAAGCGAAAAGGAATAAAAGGAAAAAGAATAGAGGATAAAAAAAAGAGAAAACGAGAAGTAGGAATTAAAACAGGAGAGAGAGAAAGGCAGAAAAACCAATAAAAGGGAGAAGAATAGAGGAGGAAACTAGACAAGAGGTAGGAATTAAAAACAGTAGGAAGAAGATGGTGAGGCGAAAAAAGGGAGAAGACGAGAGGTTGGAATTAAAAGAGAGAGAAAGAAGAGAGACAATGAAGGAAAGATAAGAGAAGAGGAATAAAGAGGAAGGAAATAGGTTTAAGAAGACGAAGGGTAGCAATTAAAAAGAAAGAGGAAGAGAGGAGAAAAGAATAGAGGCGTAAAGTGAGGGAGAATAGAGGGAAAAACAGATGAGAGATAAGAATAGAAAGAAAAATAGAGGGAGAGAGAAGAACAGAAAAAAAAAGAGTAAGTCAGGCGAAGAATAGGAGAAGAAAGTAGAGGAGGAAGAAGAAAAATAAGAATATATAGCAAGATGGGGAAGTCGTCAAACATCAAAAAATGGTTGCCAAGAAAAAAAAAAAAAAGAAAAAGAAATTGAATGAGTAATAAACGATCATGGACGAATAAATCCGAGCGAATTGTGCTTTTATTGTCCAGCCTTCATTTTGTTATATAATCGTTGAGGTGGAAGGTCCGGGACTGTCCGTGACTGCCCGCCAGGCCTCTCAACACCAGTATGGCGATAGTTAATACGCTGGTTTCAATGTCTCGGCGATCCCGCAGGTGATTTAGATGATAAAAGTTCATATATCCAGGCTTTTATTACAGCAATCTGTGCTCTTCGTCTGACTGTGTTTGCAATACCCAAATTACACACTCGAAGCCGGTGGACCCCGCGGTCAGTTACGAAAGGTTTGCCAATTCCATATAAGGCAAAAACAATTATTTTACACCCTGCTTTGTTTAATTCCTGTGAGGGCAAAC